GTCTTATTTTAGTGAATCACTTACTCTTGAATGTCGCTCCATTTTTCCTGGTAGTAAATAATGTGTTAAGATGTGACATGGAAACTTCATTTTTCGTACGAGTTTACTGAATAATCAAAAAACTTAGGGTTTTTAAATTTACAGTTATGTATTTTTTAGATAAACGATTTACCGACAGTTTAAATGAATCGATGTGTGGAGGTTTTGTTTTTATTTACTAATTATAAGTATTCTGCGTAGTATTGAGTCCCAAGTGATTTCAAAACGGAAACGATGAAATTCTAATTGTATTACTGGTCACTAATAAGCTTTTCAATTAAAAAATTCGATGGTGGAAATATACGAACCAATAATTAGTGAATTATTTACCATTCGTATAGTTCCCTGAAAATCCACTAAATTCCTGTGTGTGAACGATATTTGTCATTCATGTATGAAACAAAATATCAGCAACGATTTACTGAAGTTTTTGTTGTCATACTTATTTATGTATGGGAGATTTTTGAATGCAACTAACAACCAATCAGGAAAGGAGAACAGTATACTGCTTTCAAGTAGGCTAGAACAATTGTATAGGCTAAACTATTTCTACAATGCCGCCTGGAGCCCCTCTGGGGCTACTGCCGGTCCCAAGCTCGGGTAAACGAGGATAGTTGGATTTGGGTTGGTGACCCCATCCCGTAAAAAACTAACTCGCTAAAAAAACGCTAACCAGAAAAATAATTAATACCATTTTAACTTTGCCTTGGGAGTTATATGGTCTTCTTTCAGAAGGATTATGATGTATCATGATGAAAGCCGAGTTCCTTTGGAAGTCACGAGGCCAATGCCCCTTCTAACAACTTAAGTAAGCATTCATTTAGGTACATGGAATGTTCGAACAATGTGGCATGAAAAGAATGAACAAAAATTGGACAAAACTGAAAGGATAAGCCAAGGACAGAGTAGTCTGGAGAATACTCGTCGGCGGTCTATGCTCTAATGTGGGGTAACAGGCGTAAGTAGAAGTAAATGAATAAATGGCATAAATTTTCAGTCGTGACTTGACGATCAAAATCTTGTTTGTAAGCTAATTAATTAGTTTGGTATTGAGCAAAGTGCCACGATCACCATCTAGCACTTGTTTTTCGACAACTTCAATTCAAGGATTCCATTTATTCCTACTACCTATTTAAGTTATTTACTTATGAATATTAACAGTCATAAAAATTGTGACATGACATGAAAAAAGTAAATCTATCATTTTGTCCATATTATTATTATTATCAAATAACGCATATTTTGTAACAATATTTTCACTTATCTTTAGCTTTATTTATTTCCCCATGTTTAATCTTTTACGATGTATCTTTTCACAGGATAAAGCTAACTGGTAAACTGTGGGTTTGCTTTCTTACCTAATCCAATAAACGGTCATTTTCAAGTAGGTTTTTTTATATCTTTTCCATGTAAACATAAGAACCATAGCTGAAAGAAAATTGAAGCTGTAGTAAACAATTTTTAAAATTATCCTAACCTATTAGTTCATTTTAACTGTCTGTCCAAAAAGTATATGTAGTTATTGTGTAGCTATTTTTAATTTCTCTTGAGAATACTTCAGGTAAGTGATCTAGGTTTTATAAATTTCATCTTGTCATAACAATGTGGTCAACGAAGACACTGATTTCCTGTTAACAGTGTTTCAACTAATAGTTTTACATATGAAGGCAAGTAATACGTGAAAAAAAAATTAATTATCGAATGACAACAGTAGACTATCAATGTGTTGAGTATTTCATGAGTTGATAAAAGTACAGAATTTGCCATTTATTAGGTCTTTCATTAAACAATATATGATATAGTATGTATATATTATTAAGGAAATGTAAATTCGATCTTAGCGACTTTTTAGTGCTCTTTGAATTAGCGTTATGTCATTCCACGATGAAAGACACCTTCCAAAGGAAGGTGTAAGTGTAAGTGGTCAGTTATTCCATAATATGATATTTAACCAATATCGATACGACAATACTAGGATTAAATACAGATCCATGGATGTTTGCGTAATAGTTAAACAACATAGGCATCATCATCATCAGTAAATAAACAGCTAATCAATAATTTTACAGTAATGAGCGAAAATCTAATTATGGTTTATCATATTTAATACTCATTCATGTCGAAAATTGAATGATCAAAAAAAGTATTTTACGCAACTAATTTTCTGTTTTTGTTGTTCTCAAGGTTTCAATGTCAAACGATGGACAATCAATATCAATTCAACGAGATTTTGACCATTATTTAAATTGCTGTTACACACTGGATTGAATTAAAAATATTGAGGTGATAATAGTATGAAACAAAGGGAGTGAATAACACAGTGGTCTTATATGATTGTGGTAATCTCTCTTATTGTTACTAATAGTTACTTACAGTTTAAATTTTCTATACAATTCTGTAACCTTGAAATAAATACAGTATCGTAACTTATGATTGAAAGTGATAGACAGTTTTAGCATAATTTAGTTTACACACAATCATTCTTGATCGATATGCTGGCATTTTTTGTCTTCAAACAGTTTTTTTTTCCACCGCATCACAAATAGTAAAAAAGTAAATCCTGAGAATTTTAGTTACGGAACACTCAAATTTAGTTCGTGTTTTTAAATTTCAGAAGATACAAATGTTCATGCACCTATCGACTGCAATACTGAGGAAGAAACTGACCTATAAAAGTTTTTTAACAGCAGGAGATTTTCATAAATAGTAAATATATATATATATATATATATATTCTCTTGCCTATGGAAAGTGAAACTAATTCATATCACCGAAAACAGGCTAAGTACGTCCCCATTTAAAAGATGTATATAAATATAAATATAAGAATGTGTATATAAACTTCCTTTTAAACTATACCAAAATTTTTCCTACCCTAATCAATGACATAATTCACTTATGTCACTGAACTGTTGATAATCAAATCGATGTTTAATATTTATTATCACATGACTTAACCTGGTGTTAAATACACAAATACAGAGTGCTTGTTGCTCGATCGTAATTTTTATAATGCAACACCGCTCTGAACAGTCGACCTATGCAATTACAGAAACGTCACATGACCCAGCAAAAATGTTTACGACAATTAAAGAACATTTCGTTTTTCAATTACAACTACTAAATTGGGATTTAAGAATAAGTAACAATTAATTTATTGACTAATGAACGATACTTAATTTCGTTTATTACTGTAATTCACACCGAAAATTCCTGTATAACTTTAGCATACAACTATTCCTTTGATTTCCCATAAATTTTTTACAAGTACGTAATACAAATCTTTACTTAAAAATGTATACTTGAAAAAGTATGAATGAACCAAGGTTTTTTATGTAGAGAGCAGTAATACTAAATTTGCATCTGCTGGGAAACCGCTGAAAATAGCATAACATTGGATAGATGTTTGGTTGTTAGCTGGGAATATTGAAAATTTATATCCATCATCTGATCAAAGATTTGCCTCAGGATCTACAGGTTTGATTGCGTCTGCGTCACCATTCGACGCGCAAACAGGAATCCGGCTGTTTGAATTTCTATATGCAGTCAAATAAAAGATAGCGTGTTTTAAGTGCACTGGTTATGCGTCTCGTCTCGAGACTGGATCAAACATTCGTCTGAAACTTTTTGTTTTCAGTAGTTCTCTTGTCGAAATCAATCTGTGACGTGAACTGTTAGTAGAGAGGCTGATATTACGACAAGGTTACCTTGAGTGAAAATTGTTGTATTTCAAAGTGTAAAAGCGAAGACGAATGTATTATTCTTCAACGTTAAGGAATTGAAATATTTTTAAAAGTCATTATAGGTTATTACATCTGATTAAAAATCTAAAATATTGGTTATGTTATAGTTGCATTTATACAGCATTCCAGGTTGATGCGCTTTTAGAACTTCTGGCAATCAAACCAGCAAGATTATGAGAACCATTAAATCTGTTTAATCATGTCATGTTAAACTGAAGCGTAAAAATTTAATGAGACTAGAACTATAACATTATGATCTAGAGAACTGAGCAAGTAAAAATGTATGAAGATACTTTTTAGAGAGTTTTTCTTTTTTAGATCTAGTTTATAAGGTGTTTATAAGGTGGTTTCCATCCCTAGTAGCAGGGTTGTTAATCTCTCTACTTAGGATTCCAATACCAAAATGACTGAGCTATCCAGTGCCTTCGGGTTTTCAATGGTTGTTTAACTAAGACAATCCTATGAAGTTAACTAAGAACTCCAGGAAATCTGCTATAGCCCGCAAATTAAAAAGTTTATTTCCAATAAAATTTCTGCAGACTCTATCCAAACATTACTTCCAAACGTTACTACTATGAAGCTTATTGAACAATAAAATTACTGTCTAGTTAGCTTGGCATACAAATTGGCTATGAATTAATTATTTATGTCAAAGTAGATATGGGGTTAGAGTCCAAATCCACTTCATTGTTTAGTGCTAGTATTATTATCTCAACAGAATTCTCATCTAGTTTAATATATCATTAATTGTTTACTTTTAAATTAAATTTTCGACAAAAATCTCTATGAATAATAAATGATTTTCGTAATTCAAACTTTTCCCAGTAGTAGCTGAGTGTAGCAACTAACGTATCACCATGAAAGAATGGATTGTACACATAATGTAAACTTTCATGAATTCATTTTGTTTTCAGAAAAATTAGTATCATAGCATACAACACAACTCTGAGACATAATTATTACATAGACAAACTTTCATAGTGACTAGAATTAAAATTTTGTTCTGGTATTTTCTTGTAGTCAGATTTAGTTATTTCGAAGTAAACAGACAAATATCTCATTTATTCTTGCGCGTAGTTAGTACACGAAATATATCACCTACGTCAATTTCATATCTAAAAATGCATGAGAATAATTATTTAAATACTTCAATCAAAGGTTGTTGAAAGAAATTTCATTAAAACGTGAATAAATAGTTGACAACTAGATAGTACTTACCACGGGTACTGATTATCACAAATGTGTCTTAATTATATGAAATAGTAAAACTAGATAGTTTGAAAGTTTTGTCGAAGACCACGTTTAAGTGCATTTTTGCCTTTAATATTTCGACAATTTAATCATTTAATCACATCAGAATTATGGTCCATTCCTCAAATTAAATTCAACGATTTATGCTAAACTTCTTCTAATAGTGGGCGAGAAATTGTTCATCGTTATCGAAGTAGTCTTTTTTTTCATTCATTTGAGATATCAAATATTTACTGATTTTTTCTACAAAATCCACTGTTTGTAATTTATTGTAGTGGACAACTAAAAAAACACTTGTACACACAGGTACATTCAGATTTACATAATAATAATAATAATAATAACAGTTTTATATGCATATACAAACATTCAAACACACATAACACAAAACCATACAAGAGTACTGGATAGACTTGTCTATATAATAATATAGATATTATGTTTTATTCACCTATTGGATTGATGTTTCTCCGTATTTTAAGTTTGGCTAAACGTTTTATTGGTTCATTTACCTCTGGTCTGTTTTCATCACATTGCCTTGTCACATGCATGTTATATGACCTAATGTCCTACCTAACCAATCCTAGGTAACTCTAGATGAGTTGGGCATTAAAATTAATTCGAATGATGACCAGGTCATTCATTGGTTTAAAGAAAATTGATGTATACAAAATTAGTGATGATTAGTTTAAGGTTATTTGAATAGATTGAATCTTGCTGATTTTATAATGAAGTTGAGTTTAAGTCATATCATGGTTTAATACCTGATTCGTAATGGTAAAATTTCACTACAAACTAAATTTACTTTTACACTTAGCCATAACAAAATCACTGAAATCTGCTGTAGGTAAATAATTGCAACACGAACTATTAGGTTAGTTTATATCTAAAGTCATTGTAAATAGCATCTTTGATCATTCCAGTAGGAACGGTGAATAATGTAGGAATGTGGGACAAAATAATAATTTGCTAGGTATATGAAATATCTACTTTGTTATATTACTCTTCGATTCTACTTTATTTAGTATCACTGCTGTATTATATAGATGATTATCAGAGGTATAGTAAGATTTGTGTAAAACAAAGCAGTATGGGAAATAGAAAATGATGACGATCTATAGTTCATATGTAAAATTTGATTTGGAAAAAGGGACTGAAAAGTAATTTTAGACTTAAAAGTTATATATTATTGATAAACAGGCAGCCAAATGTTGGGATGTTTCCATTTGGAAGATGATATTTTGAAAAATTGATGTTGCTGTATATGAATGTTGTCATCTTTATTGTAAATGTTCACGTAGTTAGTCTTGTTGTGACGAATAGATGAGGTTTTAAATGTCATTTTTGGGATAGGGATTTGAATGCTTTATTAATGGTTCCCCACTTCATATATCATATGATACACTCTAATGTTTTTAATAAACTACAAAGAATAATCCTACCTAAACCTTATGCTTCTAGCTAACTAATATTGAGGTTACCATTAACCGATAAGTAACAACTGTTGCTGATCACTCACTCATATTTTTGTATGTTAAACGCTTAAATCTTTCATCTTCACTTTCCATATCGAACAGCATGCAGCCGAAGATAAGATATCTGTTAAAGGACAACCCGCTATAAATCATCGGCTCACATTTTTTATTTTGAAAATCCAGTTATCTTCGTGAAGAATGATTATAAAATATCTCAGTCACGTGTAACGTGCTATGTTTTAGATTTTACTATTTTGCGAATCTCTTGAATAAAAACAAATCGACAAGAGTCATTGAATAGGGCTGACAAAAAAACTACATTTTTTAAATATTTTCCAATACTTGAACCCTATCGAAGTATATTATACTGTATAATACATTTATTTTATGTATCAATGAAAGTCAAATCCTAATAAAACTATCAGCTAAAAGTAAATTAAGATAACCAGTGTTGAGAGTTAGTGAATTCGTTTTCAATTAGAACCCAATTAACAGTAGAGACCTAGCTGATACTTCAGCAATCTGCGCTGAAACCTTTCGTAGTATTATTTACTACCATTCAGATATTCTGTTTATCAGTATCTGTAAAGGCATGGAATTTTAAAATCATTCAAGGTGATAGTCATCAAACATCATGAAATAACTTACTTTTAGTCTTTAACAGTGCGAAACTAATACGAACATTTTACAACTGGTAATAGTAGTACTTATTTTTTAAACTTTTATTCTTTTACAGCCCTACCAAGACTGTTAAACCTGCCTCGAAGAAGTAATTAAATAGAATACGTATCATACCTGTAGAAAATTAATCATAAAAGTAAACAGACTAGTGTCAATAAACAGTTAGTTCGTGTAACCTGTTAACAGATGTTTATTTAACCAGAGTTAGGATACGTTCACCAACGCCAGTTATTTTGTGATTCTTTAAATCATGAATTTCATAAAGTAACAAACGGTACTTTATTAAAATCACCAATAATGTTATCCTGATTATTTTTAGTACTTACACGTACTCCTTTATGTTAGAGTTTCTTCTAAATATGACCATCAACAATTTAACGAAAGCAGCCCATAATATCATTAACGAGGAATTAAAAACAATTCGAAGAATATAATTTTCTGTTTGACGATAACATTTATTTAAGCTGTACAAACGTATTTACAGTTAATTAACAAATGAAAAAGTCGGTTGAAAAATAGGAGGACAATTAAATCATTTTATTTGTTAAAGGTAGTTGCTTTGCAATAACAAAATAAAAAAAGGGAGACTATAACGTCTTAAATGGTCTTAATTATAACTTTTTATTACGATCACTTTGACGTTTTCCATTTATTCTTTACCCTCGCCATATTCGTCAAGTGGATATTTATATTTCACACGTCAGATTTCACCTAATTATCTTGCTTCAAATGCTCGATTGTATAGCGACTTTCTTTGTTCTCCTATGTTTCAACAGACTTCTTCATTTGTAAATTAACCATAAATACGATTATACAGTTTGAATGAAGGGTAAGTAAGTAAAAACTACTTAACTGAAGCAGTACATAATTAATCATGGAACATTATTAGTAATCATAAATTGTTTTATAAATTATGCTTGTACACAGAGATCAACAATCCATACCCAAAAACTGGTTACCAAATAATTTGTTTATTCGACTGTTATAAATGTAATGATGCATATATAAATATTTCATATTTTTTACTTGAAATTACTTAAGTATGATATGCACAATGAAGCATAGGCTGCTGACCAATACTCTCCAGTCTACTCTCTCTTGGGCTTCCCTTTCCAGTCCTGTCCAGTTCATGTTCATTATTCTCATGTCTGTCTCCATTTCTCGGCGTATTGTGTTTTTCGGTCTTCCTCTTGTCCTTTGTCCTTGAGGGTTCCAAGTGAGAATTTGATTTGTGACGCAGTTGGGTACTTTCCTCAATGTATGTCCTATCAACTTCGACCGCTTCTTCCTCATTTCCTTTTCCGTTGGAATCTGGTTTGTTCTCACCCACAGCAGATTGTTGCTGATGGTGTCTGGCCAACGAATTCGAAGTATTTTGAGAAGACAACTGTGAATGAATACTTGTATCTTCCGGATGATGGCTTGCGTAGTTCTCCAAGTGTCCACCCCATACAGTAGAACGGTCTTGATATTTGTATTGAAAATCCTGATTTTGATGTTTGTTGGTAGTTGTTTGGACTTCCAGATGTTGTTCGATTGTAGAGATGCTGTCTACGCTTTGCCGATTCGCGTATTCATATCCGCACCAGATCCACCCTGGTTGTCAATGATGCTGCTCAGATATTTAAATATGTTAACATCCTCCATCTCCATCAAGAGTGATTTGGTTGGCGCATGTTGCGTTGTATCACAGAATCTTGCTTTTCCCTTTATGTGTGTTGAGACCTGCTGCTACACTGGTCGTCTTCTCTTGCATTTGTTGTTGCGTGTGCGATAGAAGAGACAGGTCATCTGTGAAGTCCAGATCAGCCTGCTGCGTCCTAACTGTCCACTGTATACCGTGCTGCCCTCAACATGTTGGCATCTTCACAATCCAGTCAATCACCAGGAAAAAGAGAAAGGATGAGAGTAAGCAACCTGGTCTTACACCTGTCTTCACCTCGAACGATTCCGTCAACTGTTTTCCGTGCACAACTTCGCAGTTTCATCCATCATAAGAATTCCGTATGATGTTGATTATCTTCTCAGACACGCTATAGTGTCAAAGAAGGCTCCATAGTGTTGTCTTGTCCACCCTATCAAATGCCTCCTCGTAGTCAATGAAGATAATGTAAAATGGTCAATTCCATTCAATCTTTTGATTATTCAACGGTGATCCGCAATGTTGCAATTTGATCGGCACACCATTGATCCTTACGAATTCCAACCTGTTGATCTCGAAGTTGGGGGTGTACGAAGTCCTTAATTCTGTTTAGCAATACCCTGTTGAAAACTTTATCTGGTATTGAGAGAAGAGTGGTGCCTCTGTAATTCTTACATATGCTGAAATCGCCTTTCTTTGGTACTTTGATCAGGTATCCTTCTTTCCAGTCTGTTGGTACTTGTTCCTTATCCTAAATCTTGTTGGAAAGAATGTGGATTATTTTCGCTGTTACTGCCACGTCTGACATATATATAAGACTGAAATTATATAATAAACTTTTTATAGTCATTTCTGAATGATATATTTGAAATCGCAAAACCATTTATCCCATTTTTTTTATAGCTGTGTTAAAACTTTTATTTTTCATTCCATTTTATGACTAACCAACTTTTTTAAAAGATATAACTTAAACATAAGTGAATAGCATAAGCTAATGTGTTGATGAACGCTTATAGTAGTCATTTTTTCTAAATAGTAGAATGTACTGAACAAAAAGAAGTGGTTAAGTATGATTGAGATATAAGAGTGCATTCATCATATAAATAATGTTTGTATGTTTATACATGAATATATATTATGTTTATTTCAACGTAAACAGTAACCGTTAATAGTATTCCGTTTTTATTTTTATCACAAAATGTTTAAAGTATTAACTAGTTTAAAATAAATGAAAACTACGAGGACTGTTAATAATTATTGCCTTTTACTACCGTATACTGGTTATGTGTAAATGATTATTCAGAAAAAAAATTTATTTCAATTTAAGTATTATACTAAATGGAAGGAATCATGTAGAAAGTAAGTCATCAAATCTGACAGCATGCTAAAAAATTACAAATGTTTAGACTCAGAATAAAAGAAGAATAGTTTTTATGTACTTTCTATTTAAAGATTTAT